CATGTATCTGCATTTTATACACAAAGACCTCACTTTCCATGCAGGTGGGTGTCTCTGAGTGACACAGATATGAATAGAGGGGAAAAAAAACCCAAAACCAGAGGAGACAGGGAGGGAAAGAATCGTGGGATAGAAAAATGAGGAGGAGGAAAGAGTGGAATGAAGAAGAGTATAACAAGGGTAAAACAGGATTGGACAGAAGAAGGGGAGGGGTGGGAAAGAAGGAGATGGTTGGGGATACTGACAATCCCACACCGAATGGCCCTGGACCACTGTAGGTCTAGAGGACAACTGGGGGGCCGGCCGGGGGCTCTTACTCTGGCTCCTAGGCATGGTGAGTAGTGGGGTCAGTGCCATTCCTGAGCGTTTAGGACTCAGCTGCTTCACTACCAACTCCCATATAATGCCTGAGGAAGGAAATAGGCCACTGATGTTCACATGGCTCTAACATATCCAAGAGGTAGAGCTGAATGACCAAACTCTGGAAGTGAATGCTACACTTCTCTTGGTAACTGTTATTAGCAAAATGGACAACAAAATAACAAAAACAAACAAATAGCTCAATGTTCCCAGCATCCTGACAATTAGTTTTTCTGGGAAAGGCCTGTGTCTGCCATAGGCTATATTGGTTATTCCCCAGTGCTCAGTTCAGTAAATAGTTGGACAGCAGGGAAATCTTAGCATGAAGTGTTGTTCTGGTTGGGGGTGGAGGCACAGAAGAGCATTTAGCAAGTCCTTTGGTGAGAAACCAGGCTCTGCTTTATGGAGAAAAGGCTGAAGACACAATAAGACTCCTAGAGCTAAGTCTTATGTTATTTGTTATTAAAGAGGTGAGGTCTTAAGATGTGCTTTTTAACAGTCTTTAGTTTGGTGGTAATTTAAGATGACTTTTACAAATTAGATACTAATCCTTGCAGACACAGATGGCTGTTGCAGAATAGCCTTGCAAAAACACTAGTCATTTGACTTGAAAAAGCATTCAGAGAAGGATGAAGGGTCATTAACTCTCACCCCACCCCTGGCTCTAGGCGGTCTAATGAGTCCTGGGTGGGCTTTCTGGGTTTAGGTCTGGGTCTGGAATCTGGGTGGGCCTAGGGCATCTCTTCTTATTTGAAACAACCTCTCTGGTTCACCCTGGAATCAGAACTTTAGGATCAGACCTGAGGTCATTAACATTCAACAACAGTAACTGAATGTTTATGGGTGAGGCACCATGCAGAACCAGGGGGGATAGACATGAAGATGATATGGACAGTCTCTGTAAACAATTACAGAAAAATAGGACAAGTGCTACTAGAGGGAATGTACAAACAGCAATGGGTACATAGTGAGGAGCTTGGGAGAAGGGGAGGGCTTCCCAGAGAGGATGACATTTCAGTTGCACATTAAAAATATGAGTTCCAACAGGGCAGCCAAAGCGGGAAGAGTGGATATCAAGGAAGAAAGAACAGAGGCATGAGAGTCTCTTGTGTCTTTAGTGAATAGTGAGCAATCTCATATCTCCTGGTAATGGAAATAAGTAACGAGAGGCAGGGTTTAAGGTGGGAGAGGTAGGTATGAAACCAGATTGTGAAGAGTCTTTGAAAACATTCTAAGGTGTCTGTACTTACCTAGGGCAGTAGAGAGCTACCAAATTTTTTAAGTAAGAAAGGGAATGATCACAGTGGGATTAAAAAAACCCCACTGGGTAGTGGGTAATTTCAGGTTGACCAAAAACCATAAAATGGACCCGTGCTGCATACTGGGAAGCTCTTGATTTCTCCTATAGGAAGAAAACTTTGCTTAGACTTTTTCTCTGGGCAACTGGGGCAAACTTAATCTACACTGCCCTTGGGATGAGGATGGAGGTTGCCCTTGGGATGGGGATAGAAATGTGGTTGGTGGGAAAGGAATAATGGGAGATGACTGTTAAAAACAGTGTAAAACAACGCATGCATGATTGAGATCTAAATCAAGAGTAAAGTTTCTCTAAGACTATGTGACTGATCCTCTATTGACACTTAACAGTCTCACTGAAGAGGCCTCATTCTTGGTCTGTAGAGTTCAAGGCAAGCAGGTAGCAGGCCCAACAATCCTCTACATTTCATTTCACAGTTCCCCTATTTCCCACAGTCCACATTTTTGTCCTGTGGGAAGATGTCAATAACACGGATCATAAACCCAGATCCTTTTAAGAGACTGCTTCCCTTACCCTACCCTCAATAGTCAGTTTTAAAAATTAACTTGAAAGAAACTTTAACTTTAGGAGTCAGAAGGTTGTTGGACTCCATTTTTTCTAGCACTTCCTTCCATTTTACAGATGAGACCCAGAAGGGGAGTGAAAATAACTAAGGGCTGGGATCTTAAAGTTCCATGGTGATGGATGTTAACTAGACGTGTTGTGGTGATCATTTTGCAGTGTACACAAATATTGAATCATTATATTGTACACCTGTAACTAATATAAAGTTATATGTCAACTGTATCTCAATTAAAAAACAAAACAAAACAAGGGTTGGGAAGAACTAATTTAGCTCCTAAGTTTTGTAAGTTCTCCAAGGTGAGATGTAAAACTTAAGGCTAATCTTGAACCCCTTAACAGTGGTTCTTTTCCAAGCTTCACACATTTAGAGTTCAACTGCACTGACAGAACTTAAGGTATTTGGATGTGTGGCTCACACAGCATGTGCACACATGTGTTCCCTTGGGCATGTTTGTCCATGTACAATATATGAATAAGGAGGAAGCTTTTGGAGCAATAGGTAGAACTAGTGAAAGAGAGGCCAGCACCTGGGGTCCATCTAGTCTCTTTGATTTAGATATAAGTGGCAGGATCCTCATCCTACCTACGGCATTTGAGAATGAATGGTGGAGCTAAACAACCACTGGCTTCTGTCTCTATCCTGCAAATCTGATAGCCAATGTGAGGGACGAAGATGAATGTTAATCAACTTCTTTGTTTTGTGTGTTAGATAAAGTCCAGGTTACTAAACCTCATATTACTTGATGATAATAGAATCAAAGAATATTAAGATTTACTATGCATCTTAAAGGTAAGCTAGTCCATATAAAGTAGGAACACCAAGAATGAATCCTGCTCCAATATATATTCATTATTGCTGAGAAGGGATCATTCACTAGTGTTGAGTTATATCCATTGACAGAAAAATCACTACCTTACAACACAAGATATTCCTCCCTTAGAAAATACTTTCTTACAGGGCACTTTCTTGCCTCCTGTAACTTTCAACTGATTGGTCCCACTTCTGTCTTTGGAGCCTCGAAGTCAAATCCCTTTTTTTCATGGAAGGCCTTCAATGCCTGAAGACCAAACCACGTCTCCCATGCCTTTTCCTTCCCTAGAGGAAATATTCCTCAAACGATATAATTTCTAGTCCCTCACCTTCCTATCAGCCCTGCTGTAGACATGCTCCTGTTTTTCACGCTTCAGCCTGGTATAAGGACTCTTTCAGAGGTTGTTTATCTTAGTATAGAGCTGAATAGGACCATCAAGTGATCCTCTTGTTGGAATTATAAGATTACATCTCTAAAATTATAGCTAGCTTTTTGTTGGCAGCCAAAACACATTATTTATGTCCCAGTGCACGGATTTGTGCACATTGGAAGGAAATTAATTAGAAGAAATATTTTAATATCACTATTTGCATCTTGCGAATGGAAAGAAAATAGTATTCTACCGAGTCTCCTATCTACCTACTCCAGGACTTCTGTGAGGATCAAATGAGGTGAGGCACGGGAAAACGCTTCACAGACATTTGGTTAAACTGTAAAATGTTTGCACCTGGCTATAAAGCAAGTCGGTTCCTGGGCTGAAGAAACTCCAAGGAGGCTAGTTGCTAGGGAGAGGAAGCCAGGCGTTGCTATGTGATGTCATTACCTGGTGCCCACAGCGACTGTTTCCGGGCTGGGCTGGGCTGTGGGCAGCATTTTGCACCATGGGGTCTTGACACCGTTGGCTGTGATTTGGTGGGGTGTTGCTCTGGGGTGGTGGAGGGGCCTGTGTCCTACTTGGGGGAAGCCAAGTGTTGGTTTGTTGGTGCCAGGTCCCTGGTGCCATTTATTTTTAAATGGCCAGTGAGTGTCATGGCAGCTCCTGCATTGAGCGTCTGCCCCCTGGTGGTCAGTGGTCAGTGCGTGTCATAGCTACCGGTTGGATGGACGGACACTTAGCCTTTTATATAGTCAGCTTAATTCAACCATAATCTCTGCTAAAGCATGATCTCTCTATTGCAAACTTGAGCAATTGATATTCTAAACTTAATGCATAAATCTCTCTACATTTCTGTAATATTTCTCCAGGTTCATTTTTGCCTATTGTTTTAGTATTTCAAGGTTTTCTTGAATCTTATTTTCCATAATCCAAAAATCTGACAAAGTCTTCATTTAAGTTGCTAGTAAGCACAGTGAGTAATACAGGGTTAAATATAAAACCTCTTGGTTCCCTCCAAGAAGAGGGCAGTCTCTTAGTCAACACTTTGAGGTCACCACTGTTTAATCAGCAATGAATCCACCTAACTATAGATTTATCTCTCTACTTTGCCTCAGAATACTATCAGAGACTATTAAGAATCTTGCTGAAATGCAGATACACAGTGAATATAGGTTACCCTCCTTGACTTCCAGGCTAATAATAACTATTAAATCACAAAATAGTCTTGTTTTAACATGACTCGTTCTTAGTAAACCTATAAGCATTTGACCTTGATCTAACTCTGTTAGGCTGTTAAGCACACAATTTTCAGATCTATTCTGAGTTTTAGAGAGATGAGATCTTGGGAAAGCCTGTATAAATGCTGGAACAGGGGAAGTAGCTAGGAAAAAACCCCACACCTAGTACCTGAATTCTAGCATAGGCTATTGAGCATATGTCTGCTGTGCGGAGAGGCCATACCTTCCCCAAAGGCTGTACCATTGGACTTTCCTTGGACTACTTTATCCAGCCCTAACGATGGGACATCTCCCATCTGGACACACTTCCCAAGAAAGGCATAGGAACTTACGTCTCTCCTAGGAAAGGTGCTCAGTAACTTGAACTCATTCCATGGAAATCCTTTGGAAGTTACAAAATCAAAGACAATCTGGAGCTTATTGCTGGCCAGAAAACGCCTCTCGAGGAACTCTCCACTGGGGGTACGGATCCGCAGTTTGCTCACGGGTTCAGCATCTTCTTTCGGCTCTGGAGGCAGGGCCTGCTCTAAGGAGAGCCGAATGGCCTAAGGAGAGCAAGAACCAGGTGTTAAACTATGTAATGGGTGAGACTGTGGGGAGTGGGGGAGAGATTAGAAAAAAGCTGCTGCTTTCTAGAAACTCATCAAAAAGTTATTTCCCATTTATTAACCAAACCTAACACTTGAACAACAGACTCATGTGTTTTTCATTTTCTTAATATCAGCCCAGCGATTTTCAAACTTTTTCATCTCACGGCATACATAAACTAATAAAATCTGTGGCACACCAAAAAATATTATTTATTACTGATCTGACAAAAAAGGTATAATTTTGATTGGTTTACATATATATAAATTACCTAACTTTTTGCTCCAAAGTGATTTTTCAAAAAATATATTTTTATTGATTTCAGAGAGAAGGGAGAGCGAGACAGAAACATCAATGATGAGAGAGAATCATTGATCAGCTGCCTCCTGCATGCCCCCTACTGAGGATTGAGCCCACAACCCAGGCATGTGCCCTTGACTGGAATTGAACCTGGAACCCTTCAGTTCGCAGGTCGGTGCTCTATCCACTGAGCCAAACCAGCTAGGGCCAAAGTGATTTAAAAAAAAAAAAATCAGGTGCCTATAATTGTATGTAAGGATTTCTGGTACTAAGAATTAACTGATCAGATGCAACATTATTATGAGATGTGATCAATAAGATGTAACTCATATGACTAATATATTTATGGTTCAAGCCAGGGCATTCACAATGGATGGCTGCTATTGTTGTGTTGGCTGTGACAATCTATTTGACAATCTAAGGGAAAAGTGGTCAGTGCCCCAGACTAAATAATCAGGTAATGCATGTTTTAAAAATTCTTGCAGCACACTGGTTAAAAATCACTGTATTAGCCTAAGGGGCAATTAACTAAAATAAATTCCAACCTGTTTTATTATTATTTTTTAAAAATGTTTTATTGATTAAGGTATTACAAATGTGTCTTCATCCCCTCATTGTTCCCTCATCCCCCTAGTTGTTTTATTTTTTTTTATTTTGTTTTTTATTAATCCTCACCCAAGGATATTTTTTCCATTAATTTTAAGAGGGAGTGGAAGGGAGAGAGTGAGGGAGAAGAAGAGGGGGAAGAGAGAGAGAGAGAGAGAGAGAGAGAGAGAGAGAGAGAGAGAGAGAAACATCAGTGTGAGAGAGACACATTGTCTTCTGTAAGCAACCTGACCTGGCTGTAGAGAATCTACAACCCAGGTACATGCTCTTGACCAGGAATCACACCCGAGAATGGGAATCAAACCCGTGACCCTTGAGTACATGTGCCGACGCTCCAAACACTGAACCACACCGGCCAGGGTGACACAAATTATTAAAGTGGTAAGTAACTCCATAGAAAAGGAAAGGTAATTTAATTTTTTAATTTTTTTTTACTAAAGAGTTAGGGTATTTGAGATTGAGGAAAGAGGTATTACATACTCAGTTGCTTCCTTTCTAGGATGAAAATTAAGGCTATTAAAAGCATTTACAAAACACATCTACACATAACTATTCATATTTGAAAAATATACATTTCCTATGTAGAAATGACTTAAAAGTTTGTAGAATACTGGATATATTAACATTAAAATGGAATGGGCCCTGGCCAGGTGGATCAGTTAGTTGAGCGTCGTCCCATACACCAAAAGATTGCAAGTTCAATTCTACTCAGGGCACATACCTAGATTGCAGGTTCCATTCCCAGTCAGTGCACATATGGGAGGCAACTGACCCCCTGGTGGTCAGTGCACATCATAGCGACCAGTCATTCCACTGGTCGTTCCGCCATTCGGTCAATTTGCATCTTAGGTTTTATTATATAGGATTGGTGTCCTGAGTCAGCAATGAGTTTCAGCTGAATAGTTTCAAGTATTAAACTATTCTAGTAATGCTGTCATATATTAATAACTCAGTGAATATATGATGCTATGTATATCAAAATTAAATTCTAGTTATACTGTCTTTTTTTTAAAAAAAGATTTTTTATTGAGTTTTAGAGAGAGAGGGGAAAAGGGAGAGGGAGAGAGAGAAACATTGATGTGAGATCCATACATCGATCAGCTGCCTCCTGCATGTTCTACAACCCGGACATGCACTCCGACTAGGAATTGAATTGGGAACCTCCTGGTGCACGGAATGATGCCCAACTAACTGAGCCACACTGGCGAGGGCTAAATTCTATTTCTTATGTCTTCATTTCTAAGTATCAGCTTCTCCATATAAAAACTGAGAGAGTAGGACTTTTTAAATAGTGCAACCCCAAGCAACCATTAACTGAAGTATAAGATCGATTCATATTTTCAACTTATACCAGGTTTCCTTGTTTTCTTACAGACCTAAAATGCAGATAAAAACTATACTTGTTGAGCAAACCAAATTGAAGTTGAACAATGATGTTTACTAAGGCTGCTATTCGAGTATAGGTGTCTTTCTTGTTTTTGTTAATCCTTACCCAAGGCTATTTTTTCCATTGATTTCTTTCTTTTGTTTTTGAGAGAGAGAGAAAGTGGAAGTGAGAATAGAGACAGAGAGACACACTGGTGGGTTGCCTTCTGCATGAGCCCATACCAGGGCTGGGGATTGAGCCTACAACCAAGGTATGTACCCTTGACCGGAATTGAACCTGTGACCTTTCAGTCCATGGGTCAATGCTCAACCATTGAACCAAACTGGCTAGGGCAGTGTCCTTTATATCACTGTTTTTCAACAATGTTTACTTATATGAGGCCTTTGCTTTTAGTCAGTAGATTTCAAACTGAGCTACTAGTTTTTTGTTCTTTCTTGCCAGTAAAACTTGGGTATTTAGATCCCAAGATTGCTGAGTTTTATCTAATATCTCTTCACTGAATCCATGGTGTGGGATATCTGAGGCCAGTTTTCATTCTGGGGAAAAGCCTTGGAGAGTGGGTACACTGAGGAGCAGACATTGTCTGTACAATGAATGGGGTAATGAGCTACTGTTGTTTATTCTTCTGAAGTATAACTGGTTGGGTTCAGGTAATAATGTAGCACCTGTTGTTATATTGTGCATGGAAATGTCAAAACAGAAAGCAAGCAGACAGGTGGATTAAGGGGAGAACAGGAGGAAAAAAACAGGAAATATCACATTAAGTTCTGATTTAAAGTAGGGAACAATGATTTGAGTTTTGATGCTAGGCACTTATTGTATGCTGGCTATGTGTGACTTTTCAATGAGCTTCAGTTTTTCTCACTTGTAGAGAAATCTCTAACCTTGTAGCTTGTTTTAACGGTCAATGAGAACACTTGAGATACAGATGATACTCAACAAAGTATTTTCTACCCTCCATAACTGAGAGCCCTCAGCGTACAGAGACTGGGTTTGTCAGGCATAGTGTCCTGTACATATATGATAGGCACTCATAAGTGTTTAAACACGAGTAAACTTTGATTTCTAAACAGTAAAATATTACACATATTTGAACACTGGGCTCAATTATCACTTCTTCTATAATGCTGTCCGATTCTCAAAGTTGTAAGTGACTTTTACTTTGCCCTTAAACTCCTTAAGTATTTTGCTTTTACTTTTCATGTTATTTTGCACATTTTTCCTTGACTTGCTATTACTTGTAGACATTTTGCATCTTCTCTATAAGACGTAATCTCTTCTGGCAGGTAGAAAATGTTTTATATTCCTTTGTTTATCCTTCAGTGCTCAGCACAGTTCTTGTTCAAAAAACATTAGTTGAGTAAGTATGAGGTGACATTCTCTGACTGAGAATGATGACTAGTGGAGTTTTCCTCCGTTCCGGTTAGGGCTCTCCAGGCTTTCCATCACTTGTTAGATGGCTTCCTCTTTTCATAAGCAAACCTTGCTATTAATCTCACATCTAGAAAAAAGTTCTTTTCTGTGAAGCCACCCTCGGAAGTCATTTAACACCCTTCTCTTTGTTTTCCCTGCACTGAGGCAGACCTCTATAATGATGTTACATTTGGTATTGTAATTCTATTTTTACAAGACTTTGAACTCCTGGATGGGAGGACCCATGTCCGTATCCCTACCTCCTAAGAGATTTTGGGCACATACTAAGTATTAAAAGAATTGTAAAATGAGCGAATGAAAAATTATCTATATTGTTATGGAGAAGACATGGACATAAGGGTGAAAAAATCAGTCAAGCTAAATGGATTTCCCATATTTAGGGGCCCAGTACAAGAGGTTGCAGAAGTAACTCACTGTCTTTTGGCGGGTAAAGTGAAGCCTAGTGAAAAGGCTGAAAATAGAGAGAGAACCATGATGGTGGCGTAGGTAAGCTCCTGTACTCTCCGCTTCCCCCAAAATTACAACTAAAATACAGAACAACCATCATTCAGAACCCCCTGAAATCTGGCTGAATGAAAGTTCTACAACTAGAGAAGTGAAGAAGAAAGCACACTGAGATTGGTAGAAGGGGTGGAGACACAGAATGGGCTACTCCAACCCACACGTGTGGAATTTTTTAATCAGGAGGGATCTCTCCAAGGCCTCCCATGAGAAGCAGGGCGTCCCTGCCACACACCAGACCCTGACCCCAGAGTTCCAGAGCTGGGAAGAGAAGCTTTGGGATTGTGGCTGAGTGACACAGAGACTGCTGGAATTCCAGGTGTTCCTCTTAAAGGATCTGTGCATAAACTTACAGGGTCTCACTTCCTCTGAGCTCCAGTGTTGGGTGGCAGCTTTGAATCCAGAGACATACAGGGAAGAATTGGACTGTCTGGCATCCAGGCAGGAACTAGGGGGCAGCTTTCTCCTGGACAGGGGTGCTCACAGGGTCATTGTTCCTGTGCTGGGACCTCCCTTGTTGCAGAGCTGACTGGCAGCTATACCCGAGTTCCCATCACCATGGCCTACACTGTTCACTCATCCCTGGTGATTCCCTGATACCCCACCCCATCCAATTTGAAGCCCCACTCAAGCTGTTTGCAGCAGCTTTTCCATACGAATGGCCTGTCCTGGCTCAGGCTTCAGACTTTGCTAAACTCTCTCAAACAAGCAGCAGCGGGACTCAGCATGCCCCAAACCTATCAATAAAAGGCCCAAGACCTGGCACTAGCATCAACTTGCCTTGCTTCACAGCTGGGCCTTGCCTGGGCACTTCCTAGCCTAATCCAAGTAGCAGCCATCTGCAGATCTCTCTGTAGCTCCTGCTGAGTGGCTCCAGGCAATGCCTGACTTTGCACCTCCTGGGAGGTCCCAGAGCCAATGCACCCGGTGGACAGCTTCAGACCATACTAGATTACAACTTTATGTATCCACAAGTGACACACTCAAGAAGTAGACTCAGTAAGTCCTGCTCCATAGGGGTGTCTCCTGCACAGCAACTCTTCCATTGTAGACACAGCTGGTCCTCACAGCCAATTGGTCTGGAGACCAATTCCTCCTAGTGATGCCAATCAAGGCTCAACTACAACAAGATTGTGACACAGCCCACATAGGGGCGCACCTAGAGTGCTCAGCTCAGGTGACTGGGGAGGCTGAACCACTACAGGACACCTATTACACAAGGCCACTCTACCAATTCCAGGAAATATAACAGTTCTACCTAATACATAGAAATAAACACTGGGAAACAGCTAAAATGTGCAAAGAAACATGTTACAAATAAAAGAAATGGAAGCAAGCAAACTACTAGATACAGAGTTTAAACCAACGGTTATAAGGTTACTCAAAGACCTTAATGAGAATGTCAAGGGACTTAGTGAGACTTCCAAGGATCTTAGTGAGAATGTAAAAAAAAACATGAAAAAGGACAAGTCAGAAAATAAGCATACACTAACTGAAATAAAGAATAATTTACAGGGATTGAACACTAGAATCAAATCAACAATTGGTATATGAGGAAGCAAAAAACATCCAATCAGAAGAGCAAAAAGAAAAAAGAATCTAAAAATATGAAGATAATGTAAGGAGCCTTTGGGACAATTTCAAGTGTACCAACGTTCACATTATGGAGATGCCAGAAGGAGAAGAGAGAGAGCAAGATATTGAAAACTTATTTGAAGAAATAATGACAGAAAACTTCCCCTACCTAGTGAAAGAAATTGACTTATAAATGGAAGTGCAGAGAGTCCCAAACAAGACCCACCTAAAAAGGCCCACATCAAGACACATAATTAAAATACTAAAGGTTAAAGACAAGGAGAGAATCTTAAAATCAGCAAGAGAAAAGCAGTTAGTTACCTACAAGGGAGCACCCATACAACTGTCAGCTGATTTCTCAACAGAAACTTTGCAGGCCAGAGGGAGTGGCAAGAAATACTCAACTTAATGAATAGCAAGAATCTACAGATTACTCTACCCAGCAAAGCTGTAATTTAGAATTGAAGGTCAGATAAAGAGCTTCACAGACAAGAAAAAGCTAAAGGAGTTCAAATAATGCCAAACCAGTATTAGATGAAATGTTGAAGGGTATTCTTTAAGAAGATGAAGATGAAGATGAAGATGGAGGAGGAGGAGGAGGAGGAGGAGGAGGAGGAGGAAATATGAACAATAAAATGGCAATAAATACATATCTATCAACAAGTGAATCTAAAAATGAAAATAAATAAGAAATCTAATGAACAAAGTAAACTGATGAATAAAATATCTCAAAGGGAAGGGGGTGGTT